ACCGTGGAATCGATCTTTCTGACAAAGTATAATGTCTGCTTTACACCACAATGATCACTTTGTCTATGGATAGACATTATTTGCTTGGAGTTGATCTTGTTTGTTGATGCAGCACAAATGTGGTTTGGGGGCTCAGCTGCATTTTTTATTGAATCACGCCCTTGCTGCAGCACACTTGTCAGACCATCTGCTTGGTTATGGTCAAACCTCACCAGGGTTACGTCCACCAACAACCTGTACTCTTTATTCAGCTTTGTGAGTGTGCTGAGCCATCATCTAACAAGCATTTTGCTTGCCACCTTAGTATAAATCATGGCCTTTCCTGTGAGTTTGGCTGTGATCCATTTGCATGCACAAGCAGAGTCTGTGGAGATGTGCAATACCGTTGCTTCCCATATCTGCCATATTGGCACCTTTAATACAGCTTTGAGTTCTGCTAAATTTATGTGCTGCATGTCTTTCTCTTTGTGCAACCAACTAGAATCCTCCACGGTAGCTATATTATGTTCAGCGAGTCTCCAGTTGCCAGAGAGAGTTTGCATCAACTCAAATGTCAAGCTTGGCTCCATCAATGCATCACTTGCCTCACAGCTTTTTAGTGCACTCTTACAAAGACTTCTTTTATCATTGTGGTTAGAGGAGCATTGTCCAACTTGTTGCCCCAACCAATTGAAACTGCTACTGCTCTCCTCTTAATGAATGCTGCTGCTACTCTATCCACCCACTGGAAAGTGCCCAAACAGCTTTCTGCATAGTGAGAACACATTATGTCTAGTTATAGCACATGCTTGGGACCTCATTTACATTGGAGTGTGTTGCACTCCACCCAAGACTTGCAAGCCAAATATTCCTGAACTGTCCTTCAGTCACTCTGTTTCCTTCCTTACCAGCCCAAAATTTACCAGATGTTGCTTTATGCTGCCTGCAGATGCTATATTCTCATTGATGTAAATATCATCAATGTATGCTGATGTTGGTTGCTGGATAGTCTCATCCTTCAATAATACAGCATCCATAATGGCTTGCATAATAGATGGTATCATATTGAGTCCAAAGCCCATGCATGTCAAGCAGTATCTTCTCCCCTCAATGATCACAGTTTAGTATGGTCACACAGATTGGTGCACACATACACCTGTAAGCAGGCCTTTCTTAACTTTCTTAATTTTTGTGCACAAATGCCAGTATGAGCTGTGTAATCTTAGACATGCCCATTCAGTTCACAAAAGTCCAATATGGGGTGCACTATTTTTAATCTGCTTTAAAACTGCCATCAATGGAATCAGGTCCTGTGGAGCATCAAGTTCTTTTCTTAGGATATGTAAGCAGCCATCCATTATACAACCATGTTTGCAGCTCATGCTGATATTCCTGTTGGATGTTAGCAGACACTGGATATTCAGGTATTCTGTTTATCAAATTATTGGGCAGCTGGTCACCTGGCCACTTTCATGAGTCTGCCCACACACTGGTCCTGTTATCAAATACAGCACTGAAATCCAGTTCTTCTATTTTTATTGCAGTGCAGACATATGGGTTATCCTTGAGAAGATGGCTTTATCAGATTTGTTGATTCTAACTCCACCTAACATTTTAATGACATCCATCCCAATGAGTAGATCAAAACCTAACAGTTGACTGTCCATGACCAGGAATTTAGCTTTCACAAGATCTTTGTCATCTACTACCAGCTGTCAATATGTTCACCTTTTGTTGACCCCAGGGGCTACACACTGATCCACTCACAAAGGACCTAGAAAATCTAGAATCTACTAGTGCAATGCACTTGAACCCATCAATTTGGACCTTAATTACAAGCAACACTTCTTTAAAACTTTTTGGGGAGAGACTGGAGCTGATGTCTTGCCTCTTTCACCGTTCCTGGGACGTGAGCCTGTCTCTCAGCATCTAAAGCAGTGCGCCTTCACTTGCACTTTTTGCATGGGGCCACGGCACCACTCTCTATGTTGATACTGGCAATCACTTGCAAAGTGGTTTAGTCCAGAGCATTTGTAACACCTAGCATGACTGGCAGACTTATCAGGGTAGGTAGGGCTTGTATTGGTCTTGACTGTGCAACTGCTCTGACCAGTTCTTTCTCATCTGACATTATGATTTGTGTGCTAGTTAGAAATTGATCCAGGGTCATTTTGTCCATTCTCGACGATGCCCAGAGTTGTTGCCTTACATGACTTGGCATGCTTGGCCACAAAAACACATGCCGTCCAGTTTTCAGGTGGTGCCTCTCCAACGATGTTCTGCCAATAACACATCTACTGTTTCACCAATTACTGCATCATGAAGCTTTAAAAATCCACAAACAAATCTGTTGTGAAAGCATTTACCAAAGTCCACTTAACTTGCTCTGCATCAGACTTTTGTTCCTTGCTGAGTTGCCTATATACGCTTAACCATAGCGGAATGACTCGTACTATTTTCTGAACATCACACAGCTCACAAATGAGTTCCACATCTTCAAACTATTCAACTACTGGGAGATTGGTTGCTGCTCCACTGAATTCTGGAAGCAGTCAGATGTCAAACTGTCATTTTCTTGGTGCTGAAATAGCTTGAAATGATTTTCTTCCTATTGATTGGGTATCTACCAACAAAGAGTAATAGAAAACTCAGCAGCACCAGAATTAAACACTGGATCATGATGAGCAGGGCACAGACAAGCCTTCCACATGTATGGGACGAATACAGCCAAGACACCAGAACCACAAACAATGATGAATGAATTTGAAATGATGCAGGGCAACACAAACAAAAATCTTTGGTAATGACAACAATCCCATTGTGTGGTCAACATGGCATACTGCCAAGTTCTGCCTCTTCCCAGAAAATGTGCTGCCTTTTATGGAGCCTAAAACTTTAGCTTTTGGGTAGCAAAGGAACTCTTTGCATAGCTCACCACCCTGACTATCTCATGGGAAAATCTATTCATTTTCTGGCAAACTTGGACCTTCGTGCCTAAAAAAAAATTGAGTGTCAAAAGGAGGGTTTTTCTCTTGGCACTGCTATTATTTTAATTACTATCACTCTTTGGCAATATTTATTGTTTTAAAAACAATGATTAGAACAGTAATTAAACCTGAACATATGATGAAAGTAAATTTATACATTTTTTTGTTTTTGAGAATTTACAACAAAAATATTAAAATAAAAAGTTAGTGAAGAGAAAGAAGAATAAAAGAACAGGATTCAGAAAGACAGAAGATGGCGATAATGCCACTAAGATGCAAGAGGTTACTCTGAGTGAAAGAGAATGAGAAGACTTTAGTGAGGAGAAAGAACAATAAAAGAACAGGATTCAGAAAGACAGAAGATGCCAAGTGATGTTGCATTTAAGTTTTTGAAGATCATAGTTGACAGGAAAGCAAGAAATCAGAAGAGAATTCCACAGGAGAGAAGAAACTATTAGAAGAGAACTATTTCAACCATAAATTGATGAGATCTAGTTGCCAATCTAGTACTGCACTTAAGGTCTGGATACCAATGAGGAAAGTTTATTGGAACAATTAACATGAAAATATTTATAGAAAAAGACACAGGGAAGCTATGTTACCATGGTGGGAAAGTGACCAAAACCAAGATGTCAGGACCAATAATATTACAGACCTTTCTTTTGATTTTGCAAAGAACCTTGAGATATATAACAGGTGCACCTGACCAGATATAGCAGCAATATTCAATACACAGATGAATGGCATATTTATGATTTATAAATGTGCAAAATGGATTCTGGTGAGAAAAATTGTCTGGCATGGCACAATGAACCAACTTTACTAGTAGCAGATCTAACAATTGATTCAATATAATCATTTCACTTCATATCAGTAGAAGACCTGAAACCTAGAAGGCACAAGGAGTTACTCTTTGGAGATTAGCATGAGCCTTGCAAAAATGGTTCTTTAAGATGACTAAAAAGCAGCAGTTTTGCTTTTGGAGGTGTTCAAATTTACAAGCCATGTCTTGTCATTTGTAAAATCACCTGACAGTTTTACTTTATCAAACCCATCAGACTTACTACTAAAACAAGAATAAATAGAGATACTGAGTTGGGAACTGATGTCATTGATTATGATAAGAAACAAAGTAGGTCCTCCAGGGATAAGGCCCTGGAGGTGGGCATTAATATGATAGGATCTAGAAGAGTAGCCATTCAATACAACCTTCATTACCTGATTTGTTAAGGAAGTTTGTATCATAGCTCTACAACTTGTGAAAAAAACCTGCATGGCAATACTGTCAAATACCTTTGAGATATCTGAAGCTACAGCCTGAGCTTCACCATTTTCATCAAAAGCTTGACAAGGATTTTTATAGGAAATAAGTGTTGGATGATTTCAATTACTTGTATATCACTTATCTGTCAAAATTAGCAATAGTTATAGCCAAGCTTACCATACATCCTGGTTTAGTTGGGACTGTCCTGCTTTGAGGGATCTGTCCCAACGATATAAGTTTATTTTTCATGTGTCAGCCTCAAGGCTTATGATATGTCGAGTCATGAAAATACTTTTTAAAAGAGCCTAAACTTGTAATAAAATCTTGAAATTGTCCTGATTTGTGGTTTAGAAATTAAGGTTATCTTTTTTTCTTTTTTGCTGCTGCTATTTTGGCAGGAAAAATAATTATGGAAGAGCAGATTTCTCATGTACTTAATCACCATAAATCACTATTATGACAGGTTAGTGACAATACCTAGTTGAGATCGTATCCTTAGAAAAAGCATAAATTGAATCTACCTACTTTATTTTATTACTAGGATTTGAATTCTTTTGTATTTTAGATAACTCTTACTGCACAATGCATTTATTTTGTGGAAAACCTAAAATGCTGTTTGTACATTGTCAAGAAAATTACACAGATTCCACAATTACAATAATTTTAAATTGTTCCAATTGAATTTTCACTATACCATTTTTTCCAGTATTCAGCAAATGTTTGGCAAAATTACCTCAAGTCCTTCAAATCCAAAATTAAGTTTTGAAGAAATGTTGTGCAACAAAATAACAAAGCAAAAGAAGAAAAATGCAGAAAAAGAAAAAGGTAAGGGAAATTTATGTCATTTTGTTTCTTAATTCAAATAAAATGTATATAATTTTTATAAACATTTTTTTATTGTAGGAAGAGAGCATTCACAGGTACCCCCACTAATTCAGTATACATAAGGTTTAAAATGAATTTAAAAAAAGAGAAAAGCTTTCTTGAAGCTTTCATTTTAGCTTTAATTGAAAGCTAAAGAATTTAAAATGTACTATTTCCAGTTAGCAAAATACTCTGTGGTGTATTTCAAACAGATCTTATATATTTTTTTCGATAAAAATTATCAACTAGTTATTTTTGATACATTTGTAAACAAAAGTTAATTCTCATTTTTAAAATCTTGCAAAAATAAAATATATATTTCTGAAATGTTATTTGAGGAAAATTAGCAAATTTAAAGTTAAATTAATCTCATTTGAAACAAATATTATTTACTAGTAGGTATCCCAGCATTCAGTTTACAGCCGATGAAATTCTTAACTAAACACTAAAAAAGGCATATATTCAACTCACCGTGTTATTTCATACAATATCTCCATAAAAACATAATGCATACCAAATAAAAGCTCATTTCATGAACTTTGTTTCTGTCTTATTTATTTTTATATGTACTACAGTGGGCGAGGAACATTACAGTTTGAAAATAGACATTTTGGTGATTTCGCAAAATTTTGGCCATTTTTTTCACTGACAGCAGTTTAGACTTCCTCAAATTTTGTAACATGCGCACTCCGCAGGGTTTATTACAATTTTGGTAACATGTTAGTTTGAAAGTTAACGTTCTAAGCTTCATTTTCATATATTTTCTATTTTTTAATTTTAATAAGAAGTTTGTAAACAATTCAAATGAATTTTGATTGTAAAATTCAAATGCTTCTTGTAAAAATAAAAACACATAAAATATATCATTAAAACGCTCATTTGATAACCTATGAAACTAAATCAAAATCAAATATGAAATGATAGCTCCATTTTGCGTGTGTGCGATTATGTGTAACCATGTGCGACTCTCTCGGCCATCATTTCAACTCAACAGAACAGTCAATACACAGTGTCAACACGGACACCCAAGAATCAACCAGCATGTTTTCTATGGACAAAATTTTCAAGGAAATTGGTAAGAATTTGTTTTAAATATTAATTTTCTATGATATGTAAAATGTAAATGGGATTTAAAAACCGTTTTCGTCATAAAAAATATGAAACAAAAATCGATTTGTTTACTTTACGCTCAGATTCAAATCACAAAAAACGTAGGACTTATTGATCGAAAAATGTTCATATTCAAAGGAGATAAAAAAACATTCTACAAAAAAATTCTAGAATGTCTTTTATGTTTTTGCAGTATTCTCACAATAATTATCAGCATTTCAGTTACCAAGTAACATTTTTGTTTTGTTTAAAGTTACCCCTTCAAACAATTTTCTTACTTTTTAAATTATCTAATGAATGGATATTAGTTAAGATTTATAGCTATCTAGATACAAATTTATGATTTAATATTCATTTTCCTAATTTCTTAGTAATATTTATTTCATATGGATTATGAGTGTTGATTTTATTCTAAAATATTTTAATATGTCAGTTTTAAGGACCACTGTGAAAATAGGTCTGTTGAGAAAATATTTTAGTGCTTCCTTATTTGTTACTCAGGTGTATGGATGACTCTATATTTATCCCTGATTGTATTTAGCGCAATTTTTTTATGAACTGCAAATAAACTCAAGTTCAGTAAGAAAACGTAGACAATAATTTGAAGATGAATACTAAGTAGTACTTCGACAAAATGGGATAGGATTATAAATTCATTTTTTTTTTTTTTCTTTTTGAAGATGACTATGTACAGAATCAGTTACAACATTGTTTTATGACAAAAGGACGTGGAAGGAAGATGTCTTTGCCTAAAGTGGAATGTTCCAAGAAAGTGCTGCTTCAAATATATTTATTGAAAGAGAAGTATCAGGAAACCTGGGATTCTGCTATTACTTTTTTACATAAATTGTTCCCAATCTTTCCTAAGAACAGATTTTTACACCTTATTGAGAAAAATTCAAGCAGAAGTTCAGAAAAAAAAAGCCGGATCATCCTGCATGGTACTATGAGGTAACAAATTTGGGATTCATAGGTGAAAGATGTAAGAGTGTTGGATTGTTTCTCAGTGTTTTGTCGGATTCAACGCTGGGGTTATAAATTTTTGTAATGCGGAAGTAATAGATGGGCTCATACTTGAACTATATAAACTGGATGCACCAGCAAAGATATACTAGTCAGACTAGAAGAACTTGGGTAGTGCCTGAATTAGATTATTTGGAAGGATTGTATGAAGATTATGCCGAGACTTATTTTTGACTACTCAGTGAAGAGGTATCCCAACACCCAGCCCACCATTACTGAAAATTTCCAAATAAACTTTATTTGATTAATTTTATGTCTGTGTTATTTATTTTTATGTGCATAATGTGAGAGGAACATTACAGTTTAAAAATTGAGACAATTTGGTATTTCATACCGCTTACTTAGTGATCGGAACTAACATATGTTGGAACTTCAACCTTTTGATCAAATTGTGACAGATAAAATATTTTTATTTTAATGATTTCAGTTACAAATTTAGTGGTTGAATACCACTTCATGATATGGTGAGTTTTCTGTTGTTTTCTTACGTTCATTAGTGGGTATTGAATTGACGTGTGGCATTTCTCTCTCTACAGTCCACAAATTGTACATGTTGAGTCAGGACTGTACTTGTTCAGCATCTGCTCCATATACATTCTAATCTGTTGATTTTAGGTCATTTTAACCATGATAAATGGAAAGAGCACCCCCAGAAATGGCTAAATATGAAATTTGGTGTTTCTAATGTAAGAAGTTTTCATTTTATGACACAATTCAAGCAAGTCTAAAATCAGCCTTTCAAATACCTTGTGACAAAGGGTTAAAAAGCAATTCTTTTCAATTTTGAAGTGGAATAATCCAGAATATATCCATTCTATCACTCCCCACAAAATTAGGCATGTTACTGCTATAGTCATAATGTGATATTTGAAATTTGGGATGAATGTGGGTCTTATTTCCAGTTTTATGAAATGTCAAACCTCAGTTGTTTGTACGTCGTTGCAGAGGATTTGATTTTTATAAAATTTGCATATTCAGACTGAATTTATTTAAGAAATATGCAGTGATACATTTGTAATTATTAATTTCTTTATGTACCTAACAAGCTAGTATAATTTTAACTGTTGCTCTTAATTGCTTTTTAAAATATAGGAGTCCAAATATGGTATTTTGCCCTAATTTATAATAGACAAAAAATGGCTAAGTCGAGCACATGTGTAAAAATAAAAATAAATCTGCTAAAATTAAATGGTTTTAGATATTTTGATGAAATAAAAACTGCTAAGTTTCTTTCTTGTAGATTAAGAAGATGCAATCAGATAACACCTAGTACCTATTTGAAATTTTCATCTGTGATACCAACATAAAATGTTGGAAAAAAATATTTCTTAACTACAAGGTCTTGTTTTTCTAATGTGTTTATTGATTCATTGACAGTTGATTGACATATAACATAGTTAAGTATGGTGGAGCAGATGATAAAGTTCATATGAGGAGATTTTTTTTTTCCCTGTAAGTATCCCATCCCTTAGAACACAATTCAGAACAGATTTTTGGTAAGAGAGGGTCTACTTTTGAAAAAAAATCTGTGATTTAAATTCTTTAAAGAATTCTGCTTTTAACTAATGTAGTCACTTGAATTTCTCAAGTTTTCATAAAATTAAGTAAGTAGAGGATAACATATGTTTTTTATATATATATATATATTTACTAAGATTTTCTAAAAAAAAAAAAAAAATTTCAAAAATAATTTCATTCATTTGTGAATAAGTCCTGAAAATTTCATTAAAATCTGACAATTATTTGATTTTTGCAAGAATTTCAAAATTAATGTGACTTTTACAGCAAGAAAGGGGCTAATATTTGCTATGATAAAACTATGTTTTCATTACATTTGGAGCATGCTTTTATCACGGTATGCTGATTTTATTAGCATTTTCGTGGAAGTACCTAATTTAGAATAATACAAGTACAGGTGATACAAATTAAAATTTATTTTTTAAATTTTATTTTGGAATATAATTGTAGATGTCGAAATTCAGTGAACATAGAATAAAGATAAAATAATATTTTTTTTTTCCTTTTTTTTATTTTTACTAAAGATCCTGTCAAAACACTAAAATGTATTAAGTCAACTGGAAATTTTATAGCATAATTCATTTATAGAATATAAAATAATTCACACTTGTCCTTCTTTACTGTCTTGTGTTTTGCCCAGCTCAACTCTTTTTTTTTTTTTTTTTTTTTTTTTTTTTTTTATAAGCATTCCTCCCTCGAGCAAGGTGGGAAGCCACTAGCACTCAAGGGGTTACAGAGAGTTGGAATGAGAGCAAAGAGGAGTGATAGAGGAAAGGGTGAAGAGAAGGTTAGGGGATAGATCAGGGCATCTGGAGATGTCAATTGACATTGCATTTGAATAGTTGTAGATTATAGCTATCAGGAAAACAAGAAATGGGGAGGGAGTTCAACAGGCAAGAAGTGCGAGACATGACGCTATTGGAGTAAAAGAGATGGCCACATTTAACAGTTTTGGCAGTGAAAGGGTGAGTGCGAGATGCCAGCCTAGTTGAACGCTTAAATTCATGAAGTCTGGGAACCAGCAAAAGCAGCTCATCGGAGCAGTTACCATGAAAGTATTTGTAAAAAAGACAGAGGGAGGCAACAGCATGTCCGTGAGAGAGCGGTTGCAGACTAGATGCCAGATCAGGGCTAATTACATTGCATATCTGTCTTTGGATTTTATCAAGGACCTTGAAACAAACAGTAGGGGCTCCAGACCATTTATGGCAGCAATACTCCATGCAAGGGTGAATGGTTGATTTGTAGATTTGAAGGATTGACTCATTTGAGAAAATTTTTCCTGGATGCACACAGGAGCCAACTTTCCTTGCGGTGGACAAAGCTATTGACTCAATGTATTCGTTCCATCTCAGGTCAAAGGGGTGCTCTCGTGGAGTTGAGCATCAGACATTCTAATGGGAGGCAGGTATAGTTCTCTCTGGTGAGTAATAGAGAGCAGTTTTGTTTTTGAGGCATTAAAGTTAACCAACCAATACCTGCCCCAGTCCACAACTGATTGGAGGTTCTTTTCGAGACTAACAGCCATGTTAGTTTTGTCTGTGACACTAGATTTGTTTTTGAGGCAGGAGTAAATAGTAGTGTTTTCTGCATAGATGTCTACTTGGGAACCTATGACATCAGGAAGATCATTAATGAAGATAAGAAAATGAGTAGAGATAGAGCCTTGGGGAACACCTGTGTTCGTGGGATAGGAGCTGGAGGAGAATCTGTTGAGAACGACCTTCAATGCATGGTTTGACAGGAATGATTGAAGTGAAACAATTGACCTGAAATTCCATAACCCTGAAGCTTGTGAAGAAGGCTGGCATGCCAAACCCTATCAAACGCTTTGGAGATATTTAGAGCCACAGTACGAGCTTCTCTGTTATTATGAAGGGCTTGGTAAACAAGCTGATGTGTTTGCGGCCAGCACTGGTGTGTCGGAAGAAGGAGGCACTAGGTGCAAAATTAACTTAGAGTAGATTGACATTGGACATTACCCAGTACAGAGGCGGTCATTTTCTAACGCTCATTGATTGTGGTCTTTCTCACTTCACAATATGGCAGCCACTGCATTAACAAGACTCTGCTAGTGTCATTCATCATCTGGAATCAATTTTCTATCAGCGGAGCCTGCCAGCTGAAATAATGACAGATAATGACACTGCATTCACCTGTAAGAACCTCAAGAAATTTTTAAATAGCTCGGGGGTACACTTGAGATTCCGATGCGCCTGTGTACTGGCTGGTAATGAGATTGTTGAACACTGTCCTTGAAGTATGAATACCATTGCACCCAGAAAGCAATGTTTGGTGCCAGCGGCAGTCTATTGACACAATGTCACTCCCAAGGACAATCTTTCTATTTTAAACGGCAGATAAATATTTGTACCATATAAGGTTTTTGATCCGAAGTATGAAACATTGATACCACACCCTCATTTGCACCACAGAACATTCAAGGAGTATACAAAGAAGGGGTAAAGTTCCCACGTGGTAGATGCATGACCAAATTCAAAACGTGTTGCGTAACCCAAGGCTCTAATAGCGACACAGAGGAGAGTGAATGATTCGTGTATTTAAAACCTAGTTTACAAGGTGATTCCTCCAATACCAGCAGTTCAGAGACTAATGCCGGAGCACCCGATGACACTCCAAGCTGTAGTTCATCTGAGAATGAACTTTTATTTGTTCAAAAAAAGGAGTCGAAGAAGAAAAATGGGGATGCCTCATCTGTGATCATGAGATTGGGTGGAGTGTAACAGTGACTTACCTCGGTGAGTCATGTGTATGTTTTGCAAGGGAGTGTGGAGATGGTGAATGGGCGAGCTTTGGACAGACAGTGAATCGGGCAGCACTTTGTGCTGATGGAACATTCCCATTGTCATTTATAGCCATTTTCATTGGCTGGTTCTGGGCACTTATTCCCTGACTGCTGGCTGTGTCAAGTGTATAAAATCATGGTACACTCATTCAACAGGAGTTTGCTTTTCGCCTCTGACGGTGAGTGGTGTATTGGAGATCGAGGCAAGATAATGTGGATTTTTTTTTTGCCTAGTGAACCTATTGGACTCATACTACCTTTCCTCCCACTTTCTTTTCCTGTGTGTACTTCCAACCAATTTTTGCACAATCCTTTAGGTCTTAAAGAAGACAATCCCTTGTCACACTCTATAGACTGGCACTACAAAATCACAAACAAAGAGATATATGAAATAACAAAAACAAATCACTTAAATACTTCCAACAATAACAACAGATAAAATAGATAAAGCATGTAACTAGAAGGTAAAATGATATAATCAAAATATTGACTTTACAACAGACTTGGGACGAAATTCCTATCAGTCATAGAAAGAGTGATAAGTGAATTTGAGAAGTCTAATTTCTTGAAAAACTTTTAAGAAAGATTTTTATAAATTTTAACTGACAGTAACTCTAACTGCTTTGTCAATGAATGCCAAATGTTTCCTGTCCAGAAATGACTCTTTTCATCATTCCCATTAATGTACATGAAAATTTTACAGGATATTTGTTAAAATAATGTCTTATGAAAAATTAATTATTTTATAAGTTTATTTTCTCTTTACTTTTGCAGAATATCAAATGACTGTTAAGTCAAAGAAGACAAAGAAAGAGTTAACAGATGGTGTTAGTAAAACAGAATATATTTCAGATAAAAAGAAAACCTCAATGTCTGGGAATGAAAAGAAAATAATATCAACTGTAGAAAGTATAAAATCACGTCTAGAGGATCAATCAATTTCTCGATCAGCCAGAAAAAAATTAAAAAGGAAATTAAAAGAGTTACAAAGCAACAGGTAAATTTTCTTTACTCTCTCTTTTCATGGTGTGTAGATTACTTAAATGTTGGTATAAATAAAATTAATCATGATGAAAAAGAAAATTTAAAATAACTTGGTTCATGAAGGAATATTATAATTCATAAATATGACATTTTATGGGAAGGAAATTAGTGATTCAAGTTGCTTATTGCAGCATAGATACCTCCACTAATTCACTGTAAAAAAAACAGCATAGCATGATGAAAAAAGGCCCCAAACTTAAAGTTTTATTGTCAAAATGTTTATTATTAAGAAGAAAGGCCAAAGTATTTTTTTTTTTTTTTATTTTATTAAATTTTTCAATTCTTTCCAGCATGTTCGAAATTTTGGTTAAGAATCTTGTTTATTCATTTTTTAATTTTATTTTTTTTTTCATTTTTTTTTCTTTTTTTTTGTTATCGGTCAGCCAAAGATGACTGTAGATATTTTAGTGTCTTTTTTTCTTGTAAAAAAAATTGATTTGGAAATTCTTGTAAAAATCAAATAATTATTGGATTTTAATGAAAGTTTCCGGACTTATTCACAAATGAATGAAATTAATTTTGAATTTTTTTTTTTTTTTTTTTTTTTTTTTTACATATGTTACTCCCCACTTAATTAATTTCATGAAATTTCAAGAAATTAAATTGTAATTGCAAAATTTGTTTTATTAGTTAAAATCTCGACTCCTTGTAGAATGTGAATGGATAATTTTTTTTTTTCACTGCTACTCATTTCCTGAAAAATAAATAATGCAATAAAACTGACATTACTTAATTTGAAAAACTTTTAATTGCTTTTATAAATATTAAGGACACTATTGTCTTAAAAATTTTTTTGATGAATAATGAATTTTTGCCAGAATTGTTTTCATTTTTTTTTTTTTTCCAATCTTAATTAATATATAAATATTTTTAAATTCTGTGTTACTTTGTGTTAGGTGACATTGTTATTAAGTGAAAACTATATTTTCTAATCAAAAATTGAAATGCTTAATACAAATCATAAACACACCAAGACTTTTAAAATAAATTTTTAATTTATTTATTTATTTTTTTTTTGTTTATAAATTGTCCATTTCAAAAGTATGGGCAACCATACACAACATTATCAGAAGATAAGAGCGATGGCTATAGTAAATTTGAAGTCGACATTCCTAAAATATAGTTTATGAAGAATATTTTTCAATATTTTTAAGATTACTGAGTACTTAAAAATTATATAAAATTGTGCTCAATTGTCATTTTCTTAAATTATATTTTACACATAAAGTCTCCATAGAACAATAATAAACCTGTCATTACCTTTTTGTCACTTGTCAATGATGTAAACATGTCTACCGTTTGTTTTAGAAATGAATTTCTGTGTTATTTTAAACTTAAAGTAATATTTGTTTCAAATCTAATTATACTTTAAATCCGCTAATATTCCTCAAATAAAGTTTCAGAAAAGTATATTTTATTTTTGAAAGATTTTTTTTTAATAAAGAGAATTACATTGCAATGAATGACAACTAAAAAAGGATACTAATCAATTATTTTAGAAAAAAAAAATGAAATTATTTCCAATTAGTTTAAATTAGTTTTTGAAATGTAGCAAAATATTAAATTTAATCTATTAGAAAAAAAACGAAAATCAATTCCAATCTATATAATTTCTGTTTGAAATACAGCAGAATATTTTGCTTACTTTCAGTAAATTTAATCCTTTAAGTTTACAATTAAAGCTAAAATGAAAGCTTCAATAAAGATTTTTCATTATTAAAAAATTCATTTTAAACCTTCAGTATTGCAAATTAGTGGAGGTACCTATGTAGCACCAGAAGCAAATGCTATACTTTAACTTTGAGGGGACTAAAATGATTTTGCATTATCCTTTTTCTGAAAGGAATTGATAAATATTTTGCTTTTTTCTTTTAAATGGGCTTAAATTAATCAGAGATATTTTCTATTCTGTCTTTGCAGTTAAAATTTTGAGCTAATTTCATTAATGTTATTGAGTTTTTTTCACATTCACATAGTTTTTATACAATTTCTCATAAATTCATAGGTTTTTCCCAAGATTTCCAGCTGATAATTGATTTAGCAATCTTTTATTAGACTTTCTGAGCCCACATCGTGTTGTATAAATCCTGGAAAAGATGTATCAAACAATCTTCCAGCTCTCATAGGTACAATTTATCTGAAACTTTATTCAACTTAGAATAGATTGTGTCTGAGTGGACTTATTTAAATACAGAATACATATAAGGGGAGATAATCTACACCACATTCTCCTTGCTGGTTATTTGTAGGGGACAGTTATTCCACTGACCCAATCCCCTGTGGATCCTTTGAGGATGTTGTGATAGTTTGCAGTCAACAGCTGCCTCTGACATTGACTCATCTGTGTTTGTTGTCTTAGGTTTGTCTTGCCTACTCAGCTTTGAAGTATAAACTTTTGACTTAAAGTGTTTACGTATTCTTTGATTTGTAAGCCACTTTGTGTCTAAATTTGGAATAGCAGTGTCCATTTCAGAGTGGACGTGTTTTTTTGGTGCTAATTCTTCATCAGAACTAATGTTATGTTAGTTCATTTGTTCTGGTAGCAATTCTGTATCTGATTTCTATGGGGAGGTTTACTCCCACAGGGGCCAAATCCTTCAATGACACAGTATCTTGTCTCCCATCTAAGTGCTGGATGAATGCCTACATTAATTTGACTTTGTTTATTAGTGGGTCGTTCTTACTGTGTTGAATATGGTGTCTTAAAAATACTAGCCATGAGAGGAGGTTCATTATGAAGTTCTGTGTTGAAATGGTAGAAACCTTTTGTGTTGTGTTGCATTCATTGTGATGCACAGCAGGGTTCGAATTGCATTCAGAGATTCTGGGAGGAAGTTTTTTCAGTCGATGATCAGCACTTTTAATTTGTGGCAGCCAACTGAATGGTTTTCTAAATTGTATTTTTCATACTGCCCATTGTTTTGGGAGTTATACAGTGTAGTCCAACTTACAGTCACTTCTTGCCGGTGAAGAAATTACCAAAGTTGTTCTGATATGAGTAACGTTCCTCAGTTTTAATGGATATATGCTGGGGTTCCAAAACAGGCAAACAAGGAGTGCAGACATTTTATTACTGAATTTGTGGATGTATGGGAATGGGAATCGTAAATATTCATTGATTATCTGTTTCTGTTGAAGCCCACATTTAGCCTTTTGAAGGGTTGAGTGGCTTTTATAAGGACTCCTGGTGTTGGCCTATAAAATTATAGCTTGTGTTCAGCACATATTCAGCAAGATGTTATGATCTTCTTCATTTCCTCAACAGAGTAAAGCAAATTTCGACTTCTTACTACGTGTGTCATTCTAGTTATACCTAGGTGGCATAGTTCATTATGTAGCATTTGGAGATCATTACAACTTGATTATAGTGCTACTAACTCTTGATGTGTCTACTGCAGCATTTTCTTGCCAAGACAGTATATACATCGAAAGAAAAATGAGAGCTCAGTCTTCCATCACACTAACTTTTAATTTTTCCTCTTGACTTGGAATTAAACAGAAATACAACTGATTTTTGGTCAGTTACAAGTATGAAGTGATGCCTGATTAAGTAATGCTTTTACAACAATGTAGGCTTCTTTTTTGACAACTGGGTGCTGCTGTGCAAACTGCTACAGGATTCTTGAAAAAAAAAGCAACAGGGCAACCATTTTGCCTCAGTGATGCAGCAATGGCACTATCAGATGCATCTGTTTCCACAACTAGTGGGGTTGCAGAGTCTATAGTGACTATCACAGTGTTGGTTATGTCTTTTTTTTTTTTTTTTTTTTTTAGATACCTTAACAGCAGTGGGAGATAGGGGGAAAACTATTAGCTTGTACCAGTGGATGTATCTTTGAAAAAGAAGAAATCCACTGCAAGTAATGCGTAAACATGCCAATAACTTGCTGAAGTGCTCAAATGTTGTCAGGAACTGGCAGCTTGTGTAGAGGTTTTAATTGCTCAATGTCTGGCTTCATATTTCCTTCAATCACAGTGTATCTTAAATGATTGAATGTTCTCACCACAAAGAAACATTTGTTCTAATTTAATGTTAGTTGATATTTGTTAACAGCTACCATGAACTGTTTAAGGTTGCAATCATGGTCTGACTGGTTTAGTCCACAGACTGTTATATTATCTTGTAGGCAAATGTGTCCTTCAATTTTTCTGTGATTATTATGTTGTAATTCTTTGAAAACTTGACATGTCAAATGTGATCTATTGAAAATGATATAGACTGTATTGTGTTGATCCTCTGGCTTCATTTCTACTTGGTGGTTAGTGTTCCAGAAATCCAAAGTACTATAAACATGATATTTGGCAATTTCACTCACCATCTTCTTGATGCAAGGCAGCAGGAATGCATCCAACTGGATAAACCTATTGTCTGCAAATAGTTTTTAGCATCCAGCTACCACATTTTTTATCAATATCAATTTTCGCACAAAAAGTGGATCACAGAGCTTATTCAGCTTAATAAATATTCTCAGAAAATCTCAACTTCTAATTGATCACTTAATATTTAATAACATCGACCTAGTTCTTGACCTGACCAAAATAATAATTCCGCCAAAATCTGTCAAGCCTCTGTGAGCCTAATACATGACCAAAGTTAGCAATAAATATGAACCGTCTTTCATCTTCAACAGTGAGCTGATTGGAATCCTTTGAACTCGTCACACAGTTCCAGGCTTTATGTTAAAGTTCCTTAACATAATTTCAGCCTGAGTGAACACTCATTCACACAGCAATATTTTATCATGAACAATCAACTCAAGTTTTCCACATTCAACTTAATACACAAATCTTTTTCATACGCTTTCAAGCTCAACGTTAATTATTGCAATTAACATAAACACAGCTTTTTAAGAACCACTTATTTCAACTACAGGATATTTTCTTCGAACCAGTGAAAACAAATCAGAGAGCGACAATTCTGTAAACCTTAAAGTAAGTCATAAAAAATATTTCTCTACTTTAAGTACAAACTTGAACTGTTTATTTTTTCTTAAATTACAATAATACCAAAACACACTTTTTCATTATTGTACAGACCATTCAACAAATTATAATCTATCAAACCAGGACTTTGATAACTTTTCATCTAAACATAAAAGGACGTTTGAACTTTTAAAAACTACCTTTTTACTCCAGTTGTTTGTATCTCTTGTTTGTATCTCTTGTTTATATAAATATTTTATTCATTGTTGTGCAAAAACTGTTGTTTCTCATGTTGTCCTTATTCTATGTTTGTTGAACACTAAAATTTAATGTGAGAGGAAATTGTTAATTTCATCACACAGCCTAATTTACTCAACAATTTTTGATTCATGTAATTTAACCAATTAACACAACCTCCACAAGTTTATTACTAATCTCTTTTTGTGGTTCTCAGAAGAAGTTATGAGTACCTGTGCTCTCCACAGAGACTTGCTTGATTAAATAACTCCCTCCCCAAGTATTCTCATTACTTTGGAATTAATAAATTGTTTATCATTGTGTGAGTACCATTTAGATTTTACTGCTGTGGGTTTGCAGTCTGGTGTTAGTTTGTTAAAAGTACTTAATGATGATTGCTGTTAATCCGCAGATTTTGAAGGTTGGTTCGGGCCTCCAAAAAGATTATGATGCTAGAATGCAATACAAAGAATGCCAACATAGGAAGTCGTGCCCTGGCATCACGCTGTAACAAAGATTCTTCATTACTGATAGTTTTGTGAGAATGTAAGAATTATTTTTTAGCTGAAGTCTGACCAGGCTTTGATTCTTGATCTTGTTTCATCATTTTCTTTTACTTTATAGTAACATTTTTCAAAAGCTCTCTTTTAAGATGGTTTTAAAGTTGACCTGGAATATTATGCCTCTTAAGGAATAGGAGAGTTGAATTTGAATTACAGTGGAGTTTATTGCATTCACTTATGTGCTAATACCTTTGGGAAAGGTATGAATGTATCTCTTTCCCATGTCAGCTGTGGGTAAAATAGCAGGGACCTATTGCCTTGGATGGCTACCGGTCTAGGAAAAGGACATCTCTGAATTCAAAACTGTATGTAGTCTTGTCAAAGCATATACTCTGCAGGTAAGGAAAAGATCATGGATATTACAATGATTCTGTGATCCTGATGGTGGTGGTGGTGGTGTGTGTAAGAGTCAAAAAAAAGATAACTTAAATCTGAGAAAAACTTAAGACCTTCTTTGAACATAGTGTCACACTTTGCAGCATGGTCATTGAATCTCTGAAAATTGTTATATCTTCTAAAGTTATCTCTTCACTAACATTATCTATCATGTAACCAAACATGAGCTGGAGAAGTTTTTCTTTTATATTAAATTTGTTTGTAATATCCACAATATAAATTCCAAAAGCTCTGAAAAGTCCTGGAATTTTCTAACTGCCCACACTTCCTTTTTCTCAATTCATGAAAGTCAAAATGACAAATTCCAGAAATCTAAAATTGTCTAAATGTTTTTTAGTCGTCAGTAATATTACGAATGGTGGTTTGTTTCCTTGATTAGAATGAGTTCATGTAGTTACTTCTGTATTTTCTCATCTAAGTGAAAAAAGGGAGAAAGAACATGAAGGCATGTCTTCTCCTGTTAGCCTCACTCAACAAGAAAAGAGGAAAAGCAAAGATAAAAGGCATCAGAGACAAGTAAACATCTCTGTCAAATATAAATTAATTCACATTCTTTGAATTTGTAGTTGAAAGAAAAATAAATTATTTTATAGTAATAAAATACATTTTAATAGAATCTTAAAATTTATCAGTGTTTTTTAAAATTTAAACAATTTGAGAAATTTTATTCACATGTCATTTTCAAAAATAAAAAGTCCTTTTGATCTCTCGTCAACAGTGGTGTTTTTATAGGTCCCTATGTGTATGTGGTATTGTGGTGTATGGAGGATTGAACGATGACAGAAGAGTTTTTATGGTAGATGTGTAAATTGTAATGAATGAATGCGTTGTGAATCTGATTAGCTAGGTAATTAGATAGTTATGACCAGCCTCAACGCATTCCCATATTTTGGCCTTGTGCCACAATTGCTGTATTTTTGATCGTTAAATCTTGTGTTAATGCTGAAAAACAGATACTTTATGTGTCCCATGCATGTTGATATGTATCTATGCGTAAACTACATTTGTCTATAAATTGTTGCAAAATTTGAAAATCAAATTTGATTTGAAGAAAATGTAGGCTGGAAGGATGATAGAAAATGTGCCTTTGATGTGTCTTAGGCAAGAATAGAAAATGTGTCTTTGAAAAAATAAGAAAAATGTTATTTTTAAAGTTTGTAGGCTAATAATGACCTGTCTAGCTTTTGTTGTGTGAAAAAATGATGAAATTTAATGTAAGTTAATGTTGATGGTTGTAAAGTAAAAATCAAATGCTTTTTGCTTATTCTTTTTTAGAGAAACAGAACAGCAAGATATTGCAGGTCAACATAGAGAAAAATTCAAGCATCTCAAAAATAAAACTGAAACCAGTTCATTTGTACAGAAAAAGAAGCCCAGTTTGAGTAATGGTCATCAACCAGACATTTCAACCACTTCAACCAATGGTAATCAAGAATGTAAAGCTGGTACTATTATTAATGGCTTTAAAATAACAAATACTACTATGCATTTATCTACCAAACACAAAGGACAACCTGTTGAAGGTGATTTACAACTTTCTTCTAAAAAGGTAATTTTGTTGACTTCTTGAACCGGAATTTACTTTTCAGATTTTTAATTATTAATTGTATTCACATGAATATTTTTGCAAAGGTCTAGTCTATGTGTGTTTTGCACAGGTTGGGTTTTCAGTTATTTTTAGGAAAGCAATTTTGACCTGGATTATTCAAGGCTAAATGAAGTCACTTTTAATTCAGGACCTCCATAAAAAAAGATACCTAAGGTTTAAAATGAGGGGAAATATATATATATTCAAGCATGTTTAGTTAAATAATTTAGACATAAAGCAAAGTGTTTTATAAAAAATAAGTTAAAATATCTTTTAAAAACATTTTTTTAAAAATCTTTTAAAAAAATTAAATTACCTCCTTTGCATTGGGGTAAAAATATTTGAATTTATGGTGTTACACACATATATATTTTAATATATTTTCAGTTTATTTGTTATTATTATAGATACAAATATTTAAGTAAATGTTCTATTTATAAGAAACAGTATTAACAACATATCCCGCCCTGAATGTCTGAGAAATTTCATAGTAAATATGTGTCCTGCAATGGGAATCAAACTTGTATCTTACATTGAACCGTCATATAGCCTGATGTGCTATACCATTTAGCTACAGAGGAAGCATTTGGTTAGCAAGGTAGAATTACTGTTTTTAAGCTACAATTGTCCCATGATTTCTCTCAAACACTCATATCAGTTCAAAGCATATCTTAACGTAAACAAATGACATCATATATTATGAAAGTCCAACAATTGTTTTAATATATATTCTGTATAATATATATCTATATATATTCAGTTGTATGGATATTAATTTGTAATCCTGAGTTTCACCCTTTTGTGATCATCAGACAAATTGGTTTATCTTTTTTAAAAGGTGGATCTATTTATGCTTATTTGTGTCTGATGAAGGTGGGAAATTTTCTTCTGTTTGTTTGGGCTGACACTCTTGCATACATAGAGACACGTACATACAGGTGTATGCATTTATTTTGTACAAACACACCCATATAAATAATCTGATGATAGGCACAGATACACCTCCATGTGTTCGAGCATACATATACATGCAATTGCCATTCTTTTTCTGGTGTTGAGACTGTAGCATTACATATGTAGCAATGTTCTCTTAACAAGGAACAGGTGGGAGTGGTCTTCACATTTTTCAGGTTGGCTGTCGGATAAGCTTACATTTCCTAACATATACACACATATATGTAGACGTGTACTCACACTCATTGTTCTAGGTCCACTACCACCACTTTGGTTAAGTTGGGTTCTGTCTGTGGACATAATGAGGTTTGTATTTTGAGCAATGTTAACTGTTGACGATTGTGAGTATGTTAATTGTAATAATAACTGATATTATTATTGATATATTAATAATAATTATTGATGTGTTATTGGTTATGATAAACAGTAAAGTTAGCCTTAATTATAATGGAAATGATAATATAATAATGACAAAGGGAATTATGTTAATAGCTGTGGTAACCATGATGATGATGATAATAATAATAATAAAAACAATGACAATGATAAAAAAGCAGTACTCATGATGTTTTTGTTGAACGCAGTAGAGGTGGTTTTATTACTAGCATTTATCGTAAACCCACCTTTACTGGACTTTATTTGAATTGGCGTTCATTTGCTCCTGCATCAAGGAAAATTAATCTCGTTAAAATCTTGGTGTATAGAGCTTTAAAGTGTGTTCCCCTATTAGATTGGACCGTGAATTTGGGAACATTAGGGAGATTTTCCTTAGTAACGGCTATCCGGAGGCCCTTATTGACTACATTATAATAAGAAAACTAAGGAATTTCATTCCTAAAATCCAGGGCCTTCTAAATGTCCGGTTTATTTGAAGATTCCCTGGATTGGGGATAGTGGTCAGGGCTTAATTAAGCAGGTTAGCAAGTTGGTTTTCGGTTGTTTCCCATCAGTTGCTTTTTAGCATTTTTTTTCAAACTAGGTCTGCGTTTCCGTCTTTTCTTTCGCAAGGATGTATTGCCCTACATCAAATTGAGTAATTTAGTATATGAATTTAATTGCCAGTGTGCTGCTGGTTATGTGGGGCGTACAACCTTGCATTTGGAAACTAGAATTAATCAGCACGTTCCTTCCAAAATACGACTTGGTAAGATAGATAGAATATGCTATCTTCCCCCATGAATATGGAATCGGCTATTGCTCAACATTTAGTTGAGAATATAGCTTGTGCCAAGTTGTATAAAAAAAGTGGTTTAGAATTATTTTATAGATTCCGATAATCATTTGAAGATTTTGGAATCGGTCTGTATAGGATTTAGAAAAACCTTCTCTCTGCCGGCAGAAAAGAATTTATAAGGTCTCTGAATCTGTTGGGGATATTTTATTTTAACTGTCCTCGCTATTTATTTACACGATAACCCTTCCTCGTTACAAGTATATATACTTGTTCGTTATTTTAGTGTGTTTCCCCTCTTTTTTGCTCTTTAATATCGCTATTATTCATTTCGCTAATCCAACGATTGTCTCCTGATGAGATGTTGGCTGAAAGGGCTCTAGAGACTTTTAATATTAAAATCAATGGTTTCCTAGTTTTTAAAACTATTTATATATATATATATATATATATATATATATATATATATATATATAAATTTAGTTACATTTTCAAGTGAATTTTTGAAAATGAAACAGAACTAGTGCTTTTAATTTAATTAAATAATCAAATTTGAAGTTGTTAGTTTGTTTTTGAAACATGGTAATTCCTGTGTAGTGAAGGAAGGATTTTGAAATCAGTTAATTTATAATATATATATGTGTGTGTGTGTGTATATATGTATTATATATAGTGTATGTAATGCATATATTATATATAATTTATGTATATATTATATACAGTGCTGTTCGATAAATGTGACTCACCTGATTTTTTTACTAAATGTTCTCTTCTCTGATGAAACAAAAGTTGAGCTAAATTCAAAGGATAAGCGATCTAAAATCCGAAGAAGCAGCTTTGAAAGCTCTTTGAAGTTAGCAGTAAGTACTGTCAAGCATCTATTCAGTATAATGTTCTGGGGATGCTTTTCTTTTCATGGAACTGGTTTCTTAAAACCTATTGAAAAGACCCTCAGGAGCGAGCAGTACAAGCGAATTTTACAGTCTTGTCTGCTCCCTTCTGCTGAAAGGGTGCAAATCGACCCCACCAAGCTCATTTTTATGCAGGATAATGTTTCCTGTCACAAATAAAAATTGATGAAGGAATACTTTGATGAGAAGCAGGTGAGTGTTATGACATGAACACCCCAAACTCCTGACCTCAACCCCATAGAAAACTTATGGAGCATTATAAAGTACAGGCTCGCGAGAAAGCAGTTGAGCATGCTTCATAAGTTTTCTATGGGGTTGAACAAAGTGCTTTCTGACGGGATTCAAACCTGCATCCTCTGGGCTGAGAAAATTGTTGTTAGATCTGATGCGCTTTAGCACAAGACAGCCAAAAAACTTTTGCTGCTCAAGCAAGGCTGAATAATGCTTTTATGCAAAGTCCTTCTCATCATAGATTCTTTAAATTTCATATCTTCTCAGTATTGTATCCAAACGTAAACAAAGCAAATTCTGGAGTAATGGATTTTTTTAATTAATTAATCCAAAAAATTTTTATCACTTTAAATTAGTTACCTCTATGAGATTGCTAAAAAAGAGCATAGCATGATGAAAAAGATGCCAAACTTGACGAAAACAAAATTTTATCATCTAAATGTTTATGTTAAGAGGAAAGATCAAAGTGTTTTTACATTTTTTAATCGTTCCTAGCACATCTTGTTTTTTTTTTTTTTGAGTCAGCAAAATTAACGGATGACAACCATTTTTGTCCATTTTATAAAAAGAATGAAAATCTCATTTTGAAATTCTTTTAAACATCAATTATCATTTTTTCAAAACTTATTTTAAGAAAATTAGAAATTAAAATGTTTATTTAAAATATTTCGAACCAAGCTTCTGCGCTGAAAAAATTTTATTTGAAAATAAAACAAAGCAGGTCATAAATTTTCGCATCACTTAACAGGTGATGAATGATATATTGACAGATTCCATGAAGATAATTTGTTCTACGGTAGGAGAAAAGTGAAATTATTTACATTTAAGTGAACAAATTATTTACCTCATTATTTTTAAGGAAAACTTTCAGTGCTCTAATTTTTTTTTTCTTTTTTTTGTATTTAGCTTTTACCTTTACGTTTATGATGCTTTATCGAAAATATATTATAAAGAAATTAAAATAAGACTGTTAAGAGTGAGGTTAAATTTCATAAGAAAGGTATCTAATTAATTTATAGGTACCTTATGAAATTTTATCAGATGTGTACATAAAATACTATAATTTTATGTACATTTACTACATTTTACTATGTTATTTGTATTTCCATTCATTTTATTAATTTTGATATTTCAATTATGGAAAAAATACCATAACTGAGATTAATATAAAAATAAGATCATATAAATTTAATAAGATGATCCTGATTCTTTTAGGTACCCTTCTCAGTTAAAACTGAAAAATCAAATAAACTTCACCACACGTGTTTCGCAAAAGTAAAGGCCTTAACAGTGGAGAACAATGCTTAACTGAAATAATGCAACTTAATGATATTCTGGTTGGTCTTCCATACTTTATAATTAGAGCCTGATTATAAATACAAAATTACATTTCTTAATTACTGCAGGTTTTCTGATTAGTCAAAACGATACAATTTACATGCTAAAAAATGATCTATCTCATAAGGACACTTACGAAAGTGGATGTAGCTTTTAACTAATTTTGTAATATTTTAATAACTTAAATGTAAAAATCTATTATAATTAAAGAAATAATAAATAATTGTATTAAAAATTCATTTTTCATCGAAAAAATTTTTTGCTTTCAGAAAATATTGTCCATATTCACAAAAACAAGTAAAAGCAAATAAAAGCATTTGAAATTAAACAATATCTTTGTTTTATTGAATTTTGTA